CAGCCTTACCTGGGTGCACCTCTCCTGGACCCACCTCACCTGGCCCAGCCTCACCTGGACCTGACTCACCTGGGCCCACCTCACCAGGCCAGCCTCACCTGGGCACATCTCACCTGGACCTGCCTCACTTGCGTGCACCTCTCCTGGACCTCCTTCCCTGGGTCAGCCTCACCTGGGGCCACCTCATTTGGGCCAGCCTCATCTGGACCTGCCTCACCTGGAGCCACCTCACCTGGGTGCACCTCACCAGGGCCAGCATTACCTGGGTCAGCCTCACCTGGTTGCACCTCTCCTGGACCCACCTCACCTGGGCCAGACTCACCTGGGCCCACATCATCTGGGCCAATCTCACCTGAACCACCCTCAGCTGGACATACCTTACCTAGGTATACCTCATCTAGGCCACCTCACCTGGACCCCCTCACCAGGACCCACCTCACCTGGGCTAGCCTCACCTGGGTGCACCTCATCTGGACCCATCTCACTTTGTTGCACCTCACCTGGACCCATGCCACCTGGGTGTACCTCACCTGGATCCGCCTCACCTGGACGCATCTCACTGGGCCAGCCTCACTTGGATATACCTCTCCTGGACCCACCTCACCTGGGTCAGCTTTATCTGGGTGCACCTCTCCTGGACCCACCTCACTTTGTTGCACCTCACCTGGACCCACGTCACCTGGGTGCACCTCACCTGGACCTATATCACCTGGACCCATCTCACCTGGGCCAGCCTCACCTGGACCTGCCTCACCTGCATACACCTCACCTGGATCCACATCACCTGGGTGCACCTCACCTGGATCTACCTCACCTGGACCCATCTCACCTGGGCCAGCCTCACTTGGGTATACCTCACCTGGATCCACCTCACCTGGGTCAGCCTTACCTGGGTACATCTCTCCGGGACCTGCCTCCCTTGGACCCACCTCACCTGGGTGCACCGTACCTGGCCGCCTCACCTGGACCCACCTCACCTGGGCCAGCCTCACTTGGATATACCTCTCCTGAACTCACCTCACTTGGGTCAGCCTTATCTGGGTGCACCTCTCCTGGACCACCTCACCTAGGCCAGCCTCACCTAGATCTGCCTTATCTGGGCTAGCCTCACCTGGGTGCACCTCACCTGGACCTCTGTCACCTGGCTGCACCTCACCTGGATCCACCTTACCTGGACCTACCTCACCTGGGCCAGCCTCACCTGGCTATCACTCACCTGGACCACCTCACCTGGGCCAGCCTTACCTGGGTGCACACCTCCTGTACCCACCTCACCTGGGCCAGCCTCACTGAGGTGCACCTCTCTTGGACCTACCTCACCTGCACCCGCCTCACCTGGGTGTACCTCAGCTGGACCTACCTCATCTGAGCCCCCATCACTTGGGCGTACCTCACCTGGGCCCACCTCACCTGGGCCAGCCGTTCCCGCGCCTGCACAATCTTCCTCCGCAGCCAGCGGCTCCGTGCTGTGACGATGGCCACGTGGCCCTGCACGCACTCCTCTTTCTGTGGCAGAGACAGTTCTCAGTGGAGAGCGTGGGATCCTGCCTCAGACAGAGGCCCAGGCAGAGGCAGGCTACCAAACAGGCCAGGCTCCCTGCCCCTGGCACAGC